ATGAAAAGTGAATCTCAGTGATGAACAGATGTTATTAAAATGTTTTTAGGAACAGTGACTAACTTTTAACTCGATAACTTTGAGTGGCCAAATTGGGTTGGACACCTGTTAATTGGTTGTCATCTGTGCCCGTTCAGGTGGGCGGAAAAAAAGTTCAATTCGAGAACTTAATAAAAACAAAAATTAAATAATAATAAAAAATGGGAAAAAGCGCAATTAACGGAAAGCATTTTTAGCGAAATACATTGTTCAATTTAGGGCCAGCCGGCGTGGGCGTGGCCAGGTGTTTTCTTTGATTGGGAAACTTTCCGTGCAGCAACTTGCGCAAATTGCAAATGGTTTAATTAAGCGCAACAATAAGAGTGTCATTATAATCGTTGACAGCCATAATAATAAGGGCAAGCGCTAAACGTCGAAGGGAGCATTTGCTCCAATTTGTGGGCGCGACACGCCCAGCTTTAAGTTGAAGTCCGATTGCAGACGGTTTGCATTGAATAATTAAAATTTTAACTAAATGGATGACAAGGCCAGCAAATGGCTGTGATGCGCATACATACAGTAGAGCTTGACTAACGAGGCGAAAACACCTTTGAAGAGGTAAAAGTTTGGAGCTCGATCGAAAAGATGTATATTATATACATACATATATCTCGATCATCATATATACGTTATTGTTAGTCATTCATTGCGGAAACTGTACCAGAGCTTTCTAGTCTAAACGACAATGTTGTGTGTGGTTATTCTAGACGAGGGGCTTTGGGTTAGGCCAGGCCATCGGAGGCTCTTCAATATTTTAAACACCCTCCGCTGAGCGACTTCTGCTGCGTCAGCGAAAGAGAAAGCGAGACAGGAACTGAGCTGCAAAGAGTACATGACGTGGATTCGTCTGAATAAGGCGTGCGTCGTACGCACATGCAGCCACCTACTCACACCCACTCACACCCACTCACGCCCGCCCACTCGGTGGGCGGCTGTCGGTCAGCTAATGAGACCCGACCGCCGCGGCACCAAATCAGCAACTGGCGGCGCCTCAAATTCTGCCTTTGCCGCGCAGTCATTTGGCAATGTCGCAAGATGCGGGCACCCCGAGTCAGGGCTTATCTCGGGCCGTGGGCAAGCGTAATCTGAGGGAATCTGGAGCTAAGGCATGTGCTGCCGTGCACACTTTCAACTTGCCCCATGGCTCGCTGGCTCTTTGTTTGTCCAGGCAGCGGCGCTGCAGCTAGATTCAAATGCAGCAGCTGCCACTTGGGGTGTGGCTCAATTACAACAACATCGAGAAACATGTGCGGCATGCGGCGGCGGCGAGCGGCGAGAGGCATGAGGCATGCAGCTCTCTTGAATAGAAAACAACTGAGGCAAAAGTGTTTCGGCACTTTCTACACATTTTGTTGTTGGGCTCGTGTTTGTTTGGATATTTGGAAAACATACTGTACCATTATACTATATATACAAAGCAGCTGATGAACTTGTCACTGGCGAGAGCAAGGAAAAAACACTTTTGTAAATTAATTAAACTAGTATCTAAACAATTTAAATATAAATAATACCAAAGTTTGCAGAGTAATAAAATTGTAGTCAATTGCTAGCAATTATGCCATACTCTGTCTACTCTTCCTAGAATGCTCTATAAAAAACAAGTAAGAAGACTCTAGTCGAGACTGCTCAACTAGGAGATACCCTGAACCCTCTAATCTGATATTCTAATCAGTCTGCACTTCTTTTCGACACACATACATACACACACACGTATTAGAACGCGCTCTGCAAACAGCGCAGTAAGCAGCGACTGCGCTTGGGCTGCGCTGTAGTGTAGGTAACATTATAAGAATTTATTTGTTGAATAATTTAATTTCTATACGTACAATCTTAATGAAAGTTTCAGGGCGTAATTATATGGTGAAAATGTATGTACATTCCAAAGCACATGTCTCTAGTACTTGAAATACGCCTTTTACAAAGGTGATGGTGAGGGGGTGGATATAGGGGTGGGGGGTAAATTACAACAAAAATCGAAATTACATAAAATACATATAAATCTATATTAAAAATTTGGAAGCTCTAGTTTTAAAGGTTTAGGAGATATAATTAAAAAACTAGCTTTCGATAAGGTTTTTGATCGATAATAAAATATCGGGAGTAGTTATCGATATATAAAGAAAAACTTGATATGCGCGTGATATACACGGACCTAGGAAAAAAAATTTCAAGTCTCTAGCTCTTATATCTTCTGAAATCGACGCGTTCATACATACGGACGGACGGACGGACGGACGGACGGACGGACGGACGGACAGACAGACGGACAGGGCCAAATCGACTTAGCTCGTCGCCCTGATCAAGGATATATATACTTTGTGGGGTCTGCTACGCCTCCTTCTGCCTGTTACATACTTTTAACAAAACCATTATACCCTGATTTCCCATTTTCAATGGGTTCAGGGTATAACAAGAAGATTTGTTTTGATGTATAGGAAATATGACAACTGCCTTGGGCAGTTACACACACACGAATGTATAGATATATACATATGTGCATGTATGTTTGTCTGCACATTGGCACAACAGGATATACATATAGACACGTTTAGCGCCTGCTAAATCGGGGTTTCGAGAGGGTCTCTATTGACACCCCGTGCACGTCTGATGGTTCACAACTTGAGACTTTAGTTCTCAGCTGAAATTTGATTGATTCGCTATGCATTCAAAGTGCATTGTTATTGATTAAGGACATTAGGGATACTGAGTAATTGGTAACACGTAAAGTAGTATATATATTTATGTATCATATGCAAAACATATAACTTGTAGCTAGCCTATACAAGTTAAGGAAAAACAAGTAGGAGTACTTCAGTCAGGACTTTCCGAATAGGAAATCCCATGAGCCCTGCTAAGAACTATTTTTACGTTAATTAGGATATGGGAGTTATCGACAAAGTCGCCTGTAACTAGTATGGTAAACAGAAATGTGTGAATGTATATATATTGGCTTATATGACTTATAAGATCTTTGAGTTCATACGGATGGACGGACGGATGGAGATGGCTAGTCGACTGAGGTCCGCCTGCCACACCTTCTTCGGCGTGATGCATATATTTTCTCAACATCAATATATCCTGAAATTCTACATTGAATGGCACCAATGTCTAACAAAAGAAAGTTACAAAGAAAGTTAAGGCATATATTTCTAATATAAAAATATATATATATTTGTGATACTTTTTACACTATTAATAGGGCAAGGTAATCCAGTTCGTATAAAATCTTTAATTAAAATACCACATAGTCAAATAGGAATCGCTCGTTCAACTCAACTCAACTGGTTGCCTTTAGATCCGAAACGAAAGTATTACTTCCTGTCTGTTTTATATTAATGTATAATTTTTTCCATACTCATTTTAGATTTTAATTGTATCCTACATATTTCTATGAGTATATATAACGTTTTTTTATGCCTTAATTGTATTCTTTGAAAAAAAGGGAGAAATAATAAATTTTCAGTTTTGGTCAGGAATCCAGTTGCATTAATTTCGAATTGAAATACATTTCGTATGAAAAAAAACAAGACAAACCAGAAAAAAGTAACCCCAATACAAATACAATTCCATTCACAAATACATGCATACATATGTATTCTTCCACAGGGGTTGTGGCTCTACTTTACTCAGTTTCATATGATGGAAAACACAGAAAACTTGAATGATTTTTTAGTGATATTTATGACACTCTAATGTGAACACATACTAAAATGAAAGGCTACTCTTTTTATATGTAAGCTCAAACTAATAGAAAGACATGAGCTGATAAGATATATTAAAGAAGACTGAATTTGATTTGTTTCTGATTGTTAACACATAGATCGACATAACGACATCAAGCTGACACACTATACCTATGCATTGCCAAGATAACCCATGCTGCAAATAATTTTCGGACATGCTCCTCCATACAGCATCGGATTACCTTACTCGCGAAACCAGTAAATAAAAGCACAAATGAATAAAAAGAAAATACAAAACACAAACATTGCTGCAGCTCCAACTGCCGTAGAACTTTTATGGGTTCTCTCTGATAAAAAAAAGATATTCCTTTTATAATGGGTGCGGACTGGGGGTAGCTATAAAAAAGGAAAGAAAAGAAAAGAAAAGCAAAAGATATAAACTATTTGCTATGGCTACATACCCTATTCATTTGTTTTCAATGGATGAAGGGATAAAATAAATTAATGGGATCCATAGGATAAAAATGCGCAACATTTTGGCGTATGCACGCGATGGGATTCCATTGCAGGCAGCTACTAAGGGCTAGAAGTTGAGGTTGCGCTCTCTTTGCTCTCCCGATAGAGAGGAGCAGAGCGCTATTGCGCCCGCCAGAGTGACAGGGTGCGCTAGCGCGAGCACGCGCGTGCCAATTGTATAGCCATCTCTGTCGCACAGCGGCCATTGCTCTAATTATAGGTTAGGGCAAGCACAGCGTAAGACAATGCTCGGATTGGTCGTTGCCATCGCGTCGGCGCGCAGCACGCACGCAACGGGGCGTCGCCAAACGAAACTCGTTTTGAGCGCGTGCTTGCTTGCTTTTATGAATGAACCAAACCAGCAACAAAAAACACACGCAGAGAGCGACAGGGAGAGAGAGAGAGAGAGTAGCGGCGCCCTCTGCTCGCCGGCTAGCTAATACATCATCATCAGCAGCGCCGGCACAAGCAGCAAACAGCAAACAGTAACAGCAACAGCAACTGTGATGATCATAAACGTAGCTCGCATTCGGTGGTGGCTCGTTTTATTGCTGTCTCTTTTGTGCGCTCACACATACAAGAGCTGCGCCAATGTTAGGTGTAACTGCGTCATGATGAATGGGAATGGCTGCTGCTTTGGCAGCGAGAGAGCGTAGCGTCGACGAGGCTGCGGTTTTCGATTGCTTGCTTGCTGGCTGACTGGCTGGCTGGCTTGCTGGCTGAGTGCAGTCGCTGTCGCTGTCGCTGTCTCAGTTTGCCAGCGCCGCACACAGTCGCACAAGCAGAACACACAAATACAACAATTGCAAATCGCGCTCTCTCTTGTTTTGACGCGCCCTCTGCTGTTTGCTGTTGCTGTTGCTGTAGCTATAGCTATAGCTATAGCTGAACGACGACGACAACGCCTTCGCCTGACGTTGACGGAGCAGTCGCCGCCAACGACAAAACGGGAATGGGCCCAAGCTTTTTGTTTGCGCTGGCATCGCGTGAAACAGTTGCAAGCCTTTGAACGATCAGCGACGACGCTAAAAACTTTTGCGCGGATATATTTTGTTTGTTAGTGCAGACGCCTCCTTGTCGCCAACGTCGCCGCCGACGCCTTAGCACAACGCAATATCAGCAACGACATCGAAATCGACATCGAAATCGACATCGACATCGACATCGATAACAAACAATAACAATAATAACAACAACAATAATATCAACAGCAACAACAACAACAATCACATACAGTTTGAAGTGCGTCTTAGTGCTTTTAAATCCAACTTCAGCTTATTTTTTTTCTGTTGTAAGTTGTCCCACGCGGTTTATTGTTTTGCTTCAGTTCTAACTGTATTCGCATCTCTTGCATTTGATTCGATCTCGCTGCCTGTGACGATCAGAGGCTGGCGCCAGCGTGTTGCAGTCACGGATGAAAGCGTGACAGTTACAGTGACAGTGACAGTAACAGTTACGGAAATAAGTATTTGCACAGCATAAATTAATAAGCGACAACAACAACAACAAGAATCAAAAGGAAGAGCAAATGCAAATCTCTCCGAATAACAGTGAAAAGTGCAAGTCGAATCCTTAAGAGAATATTATTTTTTTGTTGCATATTTTTTATTGTTTGCGACTAGCGCGCGTGTTTCTCTCTGTGTGTGGTTCTTTTGAGATTGTGGCCTCGTCTTTGGGCGTCTTTGAACAGCGAGCGACTTTGTTTTATGTGTGCTTTGTTTGGAATAATCTAGGTTCCTAGGCAAATCCCTTCGCGCGCACGCCTCAAAATTACAACACCAACAGGAAGAAAGACAGCAGCAGCCGACGCAGCAGCCGCAGCAGCCGCCGCAGCAGCAGCAGCAGCCACTGTCGCCGCAGCAGCAGCAGCAGCTAAAATGTTAACGGACATGACACCAACCGCCGGCCAATTGTACGGCTCACAGATTCCGGCTATGGCGGGCATGAACATCACCAACATTGCGACACATTTGCAGAAACCACAGGTAAATCCGGTAAGTGCTACCAGCAAAGCAAATACATTCTAATTGGCAACTTCTGCTTCTTCGAACTTTTGCCGGTAGAGACCTTGATTGATTGTTGAATATTTAGGAACCTATTTGTTAGTAAACTTTTCTCTGAAGCTTAAGCAATTATTAGCTCTTAGCTCTTAGCTTCAAGACGTGCTAACACTTTGTGCTGATGCTCAGCTATAAATGCAATTGGCCCAGAGCAAACGTCTTCTCCATGTCTCAATGCAAACCAGCTCACTGCATACATGAAAGTACCAACTCTAATTTATGAGATTCGTCTTCGTTTGCCCAACTTTCTACATCAATTTTTGGGTATTTAAAAACAACATTTCATCAACGTTTCCTATTTTATTAATATGAGTATTTCTCTGTATGCAAGTGGATTTACGCGAAAATGGAAATCGTGTCTGGCATTAAAAAATGTTTGAGAATGTCAAAGCGAAGCATTGTCGTTCGTATTTGATGCATATCTGTTTAATTAGCTAAAAGACGTAGAATCAAATTAATAGGCGAGTAAAAAGTCTTCACTATATATGGCTTTGAGCGTTATGAAGACACGCCCAATGTAAGGCGTTAAGCATATGCAACCAAATTGAAATCTACAAACAATACAAATGTATTTAATCTAAATATTTAATCAAAAACATTTCGTTGTCATTCAATGAGCGAGGAGATTTTTGTGCTACGCTATCGCTTGAGGCGTGATATTATTGGCATAATACAATGGCATATATATATTTTATATAACTAATTCTATATCTAAATATGCAAGCAGTTCACTTGAAATGGGCGCCTTTGCTTAGGCTCAAGTTGCTTTTTCATTTCGAAAATTAAATTTCAAATGAAAGCTAGAGCATATATGCTTCATATACATTTATTTGTATGTGTGTGTAAATCTAAATGTATAGCATATGCTAATGCTGTATCTAAGCACACAAAAGGCAACTGTCTTAATATACTAGTATCGTATCATATATGGTTCACATGCATCTACTGTGTACATCTCGATATCTAGAACTTATAGATAGTATACATTTATATATAGCGCTCAAAGATATTTATTTATCTTGACATGATTCGATCAAGTTCGTACGCCTGTTTTGCATGTCATGCACAAATTAGCCTTCATAGAAAAGTGTCCCATTCACCTAATGCATATTAATACACGATGCATACATACATACATACACAAGTACATACACGCATGTATGTTTGTCTGCAACTATTTAATTATGTATGTGTATAATTGTGCATACACACGTTTCTTATAAAATGTGATGATATTTTTAACTTTATCATAATGGCTCTGACGCGGGCACAGATACAATCGAGCTCTAATTAATTAGATTACATAGTTTTAATGGCCATTGCGATGGCAGATAAAGCGGCTCAGGTGTTGAAGCAGACAAATACATGTATTATTATTTATAATACTTTGATGTTTACTGTTTGTTGTTGCTTTGCTATGTTATCGCATTTGCATTGGCATTTGTCAGTAGTTTGTCAGAGTTTGTCTCAGCGAGTTTGTGGCAAATCAACCACTTACACGGCAATGGGCCTCACAATACCTTAGACAATGGCAACATTTTTCTTTGCTGTTGTTGTTGTTGTTGTTTTTTGGCAACAATGCCGCAGCGGCAGCAAACGCCGTTAAACGCCATGGCAATTGCCGGGATGCCGCCAGGTACGAGAGCGCTGAAAGGGCCACGCCAGGGCAGGCCATCAGGGCAGGCGCTGGAAAACTCAGTCACCCATGATGGGCAGGGCTTCCTTTGTTGTCTCTCTGTGCGCCGATCAACGAGACTCCATGAATTAAACAAAAAACAAAAAAAGAGCATGTATCTAATGCTGCTGATGAGTCGCTGAGTCCCTGTTTGAGTGTGAGTTGAAGTCAGTTTCGAAATTGATTTGATGCGGCTTGTTCAACGCGTCGCGCTCTGTGTGCAAACGAATTTCACGCTACGGCTTAGTAGCTACGCACACCACAGATACAGCTACAGCTACAACTACAGATACAGATACAGATACAGTTGCAGATACAGGTAGGCGATACATGGCAATTATGTGGGCATTCAGGTATGCGCTGCTTCTGAAATCAATTATTCGAGCTCACTTAGGTGACTCGAGGTGCCAAAGTCAAAGTTGATGTGATTTGCATCTGCGATCGAATGGCGACAAAGGCAGATCGGAGATATGGACCAAGCCGTAGACTCAGGGTTCCATCAGGTCAATCGCTAATGCTAGCTCAGCTCACGTCAGCGTATCTGCTCAATCTGCTACACTCTGGTCCTCCTCTGACAGGCATTAATGATGATTTTGCCAAATACTCATAGTCGATGGTTAACAAACTGCTTTGATCGCGCCGCCTGTGAAACGTAAACATAAATCGAAACTAAGGCAATGCTACTTGAACGAAATCAATTTCAAAATTCCTAATGATGATGATGATTATAGAGAAAAGACTCACACACACACATACACACAGCTCCCATGCGGATTATATATATTTTAACGATATTTAGAGCAGTTTTCCAACTAAAAATTACATATGAAATAAACGAACCCTAAATAATATTTAAATTTATATACAAATATTATATTTTTGTTGTATTTGCATTTAGAAATTATCTGAGATTTCTTTTTTCTTTGAGAATACACAGTTGGCTAGCATTATCATAATATCAGACGAAAAATATTTTGGCTTAATTTAAAAACATCTAAATTCAGTTTATTAACATTGCAAAAATCTAGAGTTGTTAGTTGAAAAAAAAAGAAGTGAAAATGCTTATCATGTACTTCTACCAGAGTTCAAGATATGGCTATTTTATAATGTCGCCCATACATCTATCGTATATATCACAGGACGACGATTTATTGAACGATTTTTACAGATCTTGAATGTGAAAATAGATCTTGCAAGGAATTCGTTGTTTACAACGGCTAGAGTTGATATCGAGCTGGTATTGCAAGAGTAATTGAATAAAGAATTATTATAATAATTATTATACATATATACATTTTTCATATCATATATACATTTTTCAAGCTGTCAATAGAGCTTTAGCTATATAGAATATACAAGCTACAATAAAAATGATGTTCATAAGACACTATACTTGCATCGTATGGACCTAAAACTTAGTAAAAGAACGAACAAATCCAGTTTTGCGAAACTCTAGTATATATAAGTTTTTTTCTGGCTCTTTTCGTAGGGCCAAAGTTAGCTACATATATTTACAGATGAATAGAGAAAGGTAAAGACAGAGAAATGATCTGTAAAAATCACAGCACCACATTTACTTGGCCTATGTCTCTGAGTGCATCCAGCTGCAGTTGCATACGATCGCAAGGCATTCGGGACTCCTGCTGACCGAAATTGATAAAGTTTTTAGCCCGGCTGGCAGGCTGGCCTAATTGCATAACACTTTCAATAGAGTTGGCAACGTCCAGTGATGGCCATCAACCATCCGGTCAAATAGGCGCAAAATTGTTGGGAACTCGCCTAAGCTGCCGTGCCGCTCGCACTCTGCGACTACTAGTGATGCCTCAGTGGAGTGAAGTGTGTTGCATGGGGCATGGGGCATGGCCAGGCTGTGCCACAAGCAAAAAGTGTAAACGCCACGAAACTACGTGCGTCATTCAAAATGTAAAGCCGCCGAAGAAAATGTTCTAAACGGGGCTAGAACGAGCTGTAGCTGGCTGCTCGCTCGGTATCGAGCTGGGGCCCCGATATGCATATTGATGGAGCGGGCAGGCGCTTATTAAAATTAATACCACATCAATCATTTTACAAACGTGCTGTCGGCCAAGTTCAAAGCCAGCGCTCGGCTAGACTCGACTCTAGACTCGGCAGCGGCCCTGCTCGGCGCTCTAATCTTAGGCTCTGTTTAAGAAAGTTACACATGCGCATTGGTTTTAATTAAAGGCGTTTAAAGACGCGACGCGAAATACAGAAAAAAAAGAAAAAATATTGAAAAGAAAAAATATGATAAATTACCAAGACAAACTGAAATTAACATTTATGCTTGAAACAAAGCACAACATGTGTTTCAGTCGAAGATTCAGAGAGTCAGACGGCCGGACAGTTGGACACTCGGACGGAGGCTGGCAGCAAAGGCAAAGCGGTAAAACGGTACGCGTCCAAGTTGCGGCTGTTAAATTATTGAAAATCATGCAATGCTGTTGCTGTTTTTCCCATGAACATCTCTTGGACTTGACTCGAACCACTCTCTGAACTTGGGCCTGGGTACGGGTACGGGTACGGGTATGGGTATGGACTTGGGCACTGTCTGTCGGCATAATCAGCATAACAAAAGAAATTAAGCAATAATATATTAATGAAAATACAAATGCACAGCGAGCTGTGAGCCAGCTGGAGCAAGATCGCCGCGTCATTGACTAATTTGTTGTGTTTTCAACACGGTTAGGCGCCAGGGCGTCGCTCCGCGGCAGGGCATCGGTAGCCCTGACTGCCCCGAACAGCAGGCGCCGTCAGCAGATACCCACTCAGTCAGTCAGTCAGTCAGTCAGTCAGTTTATATTTTTCATTCGACTCGTCTATTCTGTACACAGTGAGAAATTATTTCAATACAAACAGCTCAAATAATGCGTAATTGATTTTCAGTTTATACAATTTTATTTAGAGCTCTGCGACTCCCATAGGAGACCTATTTGAAAATTTAATATGAATAGGTGTTACGCATCGGAGCTGCTTAGATCTACCTGAAAATGAATTGAATTGTCCTTTTCTGATTGAGTAAATGCCTATACATATATATACAAATATATATATATAAATATATATAAGTGCCTAAGTCTTACGTACAATTATGAGTAATCAAAACAAAAATATAAATATATGTATATAAAAAATATATGTACATATGTATATCTTAAAGTAATCTTTGGCTTAGTTCTACAGCCAAGATGAATCTGTGAATACAAATTGATACGCCGATCCAACCCGCTCTAAAAAATCAACT